AAGAGTAGCCCAAGAGTTGGCGGTGGGTGGTGATGACTAGTTGCCTTCCCTCTAGTCTTACACTGCTAAATTAGGGACGGCTAGCGCAGATAGCCCTCGTGTAGCTTTGCGCGAAATTCCAAAACAAACAAACGCGTCTAGTTGCCACAAAACTCCAGTTACCGGTAAAGTATAAAGTGTATTCTTAGCATATTTCCAATTTAGTTCAAAAACGTTTAATTAAACAATTAAGGTTTTTTGTTGTTTTTGTTCTCTTGGTAGCATTAAGCGTGTCTCCAAAGAAAATAGAGTTAATTAAATTAATTGCTGGAAATATTTTCTCTCGCCCTTTAATTATGTATTTAATTTTGATCAAAAAATGACCAAATTTTGCTTCCAATTTATAAACTGTTCCTCCGCTAGACAGAATTTTGATTAGTGTTTATGAATTATCTGAAGAAAACGTATACCATAATTATGCTTTAATCATGTCTCGTAAAATAACAGCTAGCTCGTATTAACATAGTTCATTAAGAAACATGTATATTCATAAATAGTTTTTTCTAAACCTATATACTTATAAGTTGCTCAAAAAATATTAATCTATTTCCTGTTTTTGTTTGTCTGTTTATAGTTGATCTCAAAGTTGCACAATGGGCTATCTTTTCTGTGCCCACTGCGGAGATTGAGCGTCAAATGTCAGCGTTATAAGACCTCGAGCTTACAGCTGAACCAAAATGTCAGAAAAACTATTTTCTTGGTCGCTACAACAAAATCGTATTAGTTGTATTTAATTATAAAGAAATCCTGATCTTAGGTTTTATCAACTACTTATGAGTCCTGGAATTAGGCGAAAGGCCTCGTCGGTACTGGATATGGGCATATAACAAATGTATAGTGTGGTTGACATATTATTATTTGCATTCACTCATAAGTTTTTAGAATTACTAATGTAGTTTATTCACGCTTGGGAACAAGAAAACTAGCTTGTTAGTTCGCCAGTTCTTCTGAATGATGGTAAATTCAAGTAAAAATAATATTTATAAATAACTGGTGTTAAAAATAAATCGATAAAATTGGATTATTAATTCTTACTTTATCTCTAATTTATAAATGATTTAAATACAAATTATAATAATTACACCTCGCTTATTCAATCCCGTTCAAAATGTAACAATTGATTTAAATAGGGTTTCGACCATTACAATTTCTCTCGTATTCCAGCCGGCGTGATGAGTCTTTATTAGGCAAAAGGCTTCATTAGCCATGAATTCGGCAGATATGGTGTGACTGACATGTTATTTAACATTCGTTTTTTCATTCACTCACAAGTTCGTGACTTGAAGATCAAGTTAAGTATGTTCTAAACTGTTACATGTTTCTCCTAAAGTATGCATTACTACTTGAAGATCAAGTTAAGTATGCTCTGAACTGTTACATCTTTCTCCTAAAGCATGCATTACTACTTGAAGATCAAGTTAAGTATGCTCTGAACTGTTACATCTTTCTCCTAAAGCATGAATTACTACTTGAAGATCAAGTTAAGTATGTTCTGAACTGTTACATCTTTCTCCTAGAGCATGCATTACTACTAGAAAAAAAACGAAACAAAATGAAACATATTAACTTTCCCCCCTGGCAAATTGTCTTATTTGAGAAAATTAACCTATAAGCACTAATAAAACCGCAACGTTGCTTCCAAGATTGCACGTGAAACGTTAAGATAGAAAATATCTGTAATTTCTATCCAAAACGTATTGTAGAGAAAACTATAAACTTGCGACATCTTACAACTGTTTTTATGTGTATAAATTTTATCGTGGATGTCTTCATTACAGGATCAGGAGTTCAAGATCCTTTTAACGGTACTGTTACTGGTAGTACGAGACAGTGGCTAAACCTCAATTTTTATACTGTTGAGTTTGTAAGTTTTGCTCTAGACAATTTCATTTTATGAATTCCATCTAGTTTGTTTTATTCCATCATTCTGCTGCAAGCTATTTCCTTCTTACCAAAACGTAAAAACAATAAAGTTAATTTCGATATGGTCCCAATGATCAATAAACTCCATCTACAGGCGCCACTGTGTAGAAAACAAACAAAAGTCCTACTGATTACTGACAGTGCATGACGAATGAAAGAACTCAAAAGGGTGTTGTTTTTTTCTTCTCTTTTTCAAAGAAAAACACTGAAACTATTACATCTTTTCATATCATTAATATATTTTATGTATTATTATTTTAGGTGTTTCGTGTTATAGATTAATTTATAAAAATATTTATCGCCAAGCGAATCTAGTTTATTCCTTCTGAGACTAGAGAACTACAGAATGGTATTCCAGACGTAACGTGCCAATTATATAAATCATAAGAGGTCAGTGTGTCCTCCAAATAACGAGGAGAAAAGTAGGAGAGTTTTTACCAGCTATTATCACCGGACTTAATCTACCGCTTTAACATGCGGCCTTCACGGCAAGGTCGTTGGCTTCATCTGCGGTGAGAAGAATGCCGGAAATCTTCGTTCTCCCATGGCTGTGGATGAAAATGAGCAAAGTGTCTAGCTTTATAGCACCTGCAAACAAATTTCTGATATGTGTTAGACTTAGTAAAAGTCTTCGTGAGAAGACAGACAGCTGCCCACTGCTTGTTTGTTGGAGTAAAAGTATGTTGGCCAAGGTCATCGCGTATTGTGACAAACAGATATTTTCTTCGAGTGTCAAGTAATATATTCAACTATATTTGTATCAAGGACTTTCGTTATTTCAAATATAATATGATTTAAAATCAAGCCTACGTTTTTGGAAGTATGTAATAACTGTAAAGCCTCTAGAAGAACAATGAAAAATGAATAACAAGTGGATTTGTTATATATAAAAGATATGAATTCAATTATAGTTCCTTCCTTTCGGATTTGAATATAAAACTAACACCTGAAATAACAAATGACGCTCAGTTTTCTTAACACGTCTTTTAATTTCGAGTAAAAATCCTAAAAAATGATACCAAGTAATTTTGCTTTTTTGCAGGTTTTTATCTATTTGCCCCCCAGTGGCACAGCGATATGTCTGCGGACTTACAACACTAGAATCCGGGTTTCGATACCTGTGGTAGGCAGAGCACAGATAGCACATTGTGTAGCTTTATGCTTAAATACAAACAAACAAATTTATCTTTTTTTTTTAGTTTAGATTTTATAAAGGATGTAAAACGAAGTAAATATATGATGTGAATTTCCCAAGACAAAAATGGAGTTTGGCGTCTAATAATATTCAAAGGGATTTAGAAATTAACTATTCTTAGCCCAAGATTCGTCGAATTTCAACAAAATGGTATGGAAAAAAAGTAGTTTAAGTAGATTACAATGACATCAACAAACATCCCGGATTAAAAGACCATTTAGTATATTTTTGAAAATTAAAAATTAACAGAAATAATGGGTGTTAAATAGAGCTATGATTATGCCAAACATTTCAAAAATAATATTCAAAATAAGGGTTGACTGTTAATCTCTAGCAATTTTGTTTCGTTTCATAACTGGTATACTAAACTAATTTATCTGCGTTTTCGATAGATTTATTTTCAAATAGATTGAAAGCTATGAAAGATTAACGCATTTTGAGAATAAAGTTTATCAATAATGCTTGGAGTTTATCAATGTTTTTGTTCTCGCATTCTGTTATTCGACAATTTTATATAATAAAATGTCTTAAAATAATATTTCATTAAATTAATTTATCTTTATCTCATAGAATGAACTCCAAATATATTAAGTAACAAATGTATAGAAAATTTGCAGATAGGTTGCAGATTACATGAGAAAACTCACTCAGAAATAATTTCTAGCCTGTAAGAAATAAAAAAAAGAACTTCTACAGAAGTATAAGATCTGAAACGCCACGTGATTAGTTCTATACACATTGTTAACAATGCTAAAGCCTGAATATCCGGACCTTGTTTGAAACAATAACAACGTCGCTTTCTTTGAAATAATAAAGTTTGAATTAATGAAATTATATATTTGACAAATCGTCAAAACACCTTTATCACTACTTCTGTACCAAAATACGTACTTCGTCATTAATATTCATGTATATGTGTGCTGAACGATTGTACTTTTGCCACTGTGAAGTTCGGTGTTACATTAGAAATAAGGAGTGGTCTTTATAAAGATTGAAAAATCAACCGGACGAAGCTAGTTGCTAGCCTATTAGCCCACATTTCTGAAGGGCGTTATGCATAAGTGCAGAATTCCTGTTAGAACTCAGGTAACTAACCTGTACGCTATAAAAAAAAATGTAATGAGTCTATGAATATACAAATATATATATATATATATTGTCGTGATGAAAAGAAATTACAAAACACCTTCAAGATGTAATTTAACATTACGTAGTGTGATCGCTAAATTTGAACTTCAACTTTATGATGATCTATCTTGTAAAGTTGTATACAAAACTGTATGAGAAAAATAACTTCAAAAGTCACTTACCACAAATTTTCCCGTGGACACAATTGAACAGCTAGTTAGGATTGCGGACGTGTTAACAGTGTAAATGTGCAAAAAGAAAATAATTCTTTCTTTTCAAATAATTGGAGCTGCGGGTAAACAATACAAATTTATAGTTATTTTTGACAACTAGACAGATTCGTCGATACAGGGGTAAGATGCCATATTTATATACATTCACAACTAATGAATGAACTGCAGTATATTATGGCACGTGGCCAAATGAAGCACCTGGTAGTGAAGCCGCGTCTGTCGAATCCGGGCAATCTATGAAGGTCCGCTTTATGACGTCACAATACAAGTTTGCTACGGATGTTGGCCTTACGCCGCACAGACTTCACTTTCAATCTCTCGCAATAGGACAGGTGTGATGTAGCAAGCCAACTGCAAAAACCTTGATCAAATGAAACGGACGAAGAAATGAGTTTATTAGCCTGAAGGTGTGGCAGTTTTTCACTCTAGGCAACGAACCGTAATTTGATTTACGAGTAAACCGTTATATAGAAATCGCCTATCTTGAATTTCGAACGGGTGTGGCCTAGTAATTAACGTACTCGGACTGTGAACCGCGGGTCCATGGCTCGAGTCCATTACTGCAGCTCCCCAATGGCACGGCGGTATGTCTGCGGACTTACAACGCTAGAAACCGGGTTTCGATACCCGTGGTGGGCATAGCACAGATAGCTCATTTTGTAGCTTTGTGCTTAACTTCAAACAAACCATTACTGCAAAATCGCGCTCCGCACATTCGGCGTGTGGTTGCATGATAATGTGACGGTCAACTTCAATATTCATTAGTAAAAGAGTACCCAAGAGTGGGAGGTGGGTGGTGTTAACTAGCAGCCTTTTTTTTTCTGGCTATCACTCAAACAGACCTCGAGTAGCTTTGCGCGAAATTCAACAAATGAAAGATACCAAAACATAAAATACTTCAAACTGTGTTTCGGTCTGAGGACACACAGCCAAAAGGTAGAATTGTGCCTCCCCCCCCCCCAGTGGCACAGCGGTATGTCTGCGGACTTACAACGCTAGAAACCGGGTTTCGATACCCGTGGTGGGTAGAGCACAGATAGCCCATTGTGTAGCTTTGTGTACAATGAAAAAAAAGGTAGAATTGTAAGTAAAAGTTAAGATTGATTGGGATATATAGGATATCCTTAGTGACTGATAACATTTTGTCAGCATTTTCTCGATGGTGATCTAAAGATAAGGTGATTGGCATATGGAATTTAGTGTACGAATACTTAAGAAAATATGTCATTTTATCTTACTCCTACTGCCTGCAAATATGCCTTAAAGCAGCATTTCTCAAACTGGGGGTCCGACTGAAAAGGGATTCGCAAGACTATTTCAAAATGGGGCGCGACATTATAAAAATATTGCAATAACGAATATTTTAGTTTATTTACAGTAACTTATAATCACGTTTGGTGTTTGGAGAGGATCGTTACAGCCTGAAATATTTTCAAAGCGGGGCTCAGTAAAAACAATGTGAAAACCCCTTGCCAATAATCAAACAATGACACCCAAAAAATACTTAAAGAAAAAAATGGTAGAGTTGCACTTTATATCTTAGTTTTTATTTAGAGAGGTTGATCTGTGCGTTAAATATTATCATACTATAGCATATAAGTTTAGATTTTGTTTGTTTGTTTGTAATTAAGCACAAAGCTACACAATAGGCTATCTGTGCTCTGCCCACCACGGGTATCGAAACCCGGATTCTAGCGTTGTTAGTCCGCAGACATACCGCTGTGCCACTGGGAGGCATAAATTTAGATAGCCTAAATATTTAATTACAGAATTTATAGGCTTAAATACGACAGTCACAAATGTACGTTGGGGTATTGATATATGAATATAATTTATAAATATGTAAATTACGCCTTATTATTGTAAATTAAGCAGTCAGCAAAATGTACACTTTTCCTGAGAAATTTATCAAATAAAATAAAAAAAGATAATTGATCAATAAAGAAAACACTTCTTTTCAATATATCCGATTCTAATCTGAATTGGCCCGGCATAGCCAGGTGGTTAGGGCGCTCCACTCGCAATCTGAAGGCGCGGGTTCGAATCCCCCTCTCACCAAACATGCTCGTCCTTTCAGCCGTGGGGACGTTATAATGTTACGGTCAATCCCACTATTCGTTGGTAAAAGATTAGCCCAAGAGTTGGCGATGAGTGGTGATGACTAGCTGCCTACCCTCTAGTCTTACACTGCTAAATTAGGGACGGCTAGCGCAGATAGCCCTCGTGTAGCTTTGCGCGAAATTCAAAAACAAACAAACTAGTCTGAATTACTTTTTAAATTATTAGTGTGAGACAATAGCTAAGGCTTTTGCCATGTAAAGTAATATTTTTAATCCTCTATATGGCAGAATTGCTTCATAACTTTTATCCCAGCCTTCTTACAGAGTGGTAATTCATGAAAACAAGGCTTAGAATGTTATGGACAACTTACACAAACTTCCAGTAAAATTATTTGTTTCAATATTTTCGTGCAAAGCTTTGTTTGTTTGTAATTACGCACAAAGCTACACAATGGGCTATCTGTGCTCTGCCCACCACGGGTATCGAAACCCGGATTCTAGCGTTGTAAGTCCGCAAACATACCACTGTGCCACTGGGGGGGGGGCATGCGCAAAGCTATACCGTTCCTTATTTTTAACTAATCTTTGTAATTCTTGTATTTTTTTTTTCATTAGGTTGTCTGCGCTCTTTCTACCCTGGGAATCGAACCTCGAAGTTCAGCGTTGTAGTCTCACAGGGGGGCTTTTAAGTTACAAACAAAAGAGGAAGCAGCTAGTCAATACCACCCACCACCAGCTCTTTGGCTACTCTAATCGAATAGTAGGATTTGACTGTTACTCTTAGGGAGCACACACAGCCACAAAGTATGGAGCGCATTTTTGCAATAAGGGTCCGCGAATCATGAACCCTAGGATTCACAGTCCGGGTACGCTTAACACTAGGCCACGCTCGGTCCTTCTCCAATCAAAGGAACATATATATAGTATATGGCTAGTAATGCTTAATACAACTGCATATGTATATTCTGAATAATTATGCCAAACATTTTTTGACTACATTAGTGACATCTTAATGAAGAAAAACTCGAGAGTGATCCCAGTACTGGATGAATTGGTGATAATTACCCTTAATACTTTATGATAGTAAAACATTACCATTCTTGTTCGCAAATTGGATGAATATTTTAGCTATTGCATATTATGACCCTCCTTGGTATTCATAAATTGATTACTTATCATATGATAGATCGACACGATATCCTTTAAAGTCACAAAAGAATAAAGCAAAAATATATAATCCTACATTTAGAAAATATCTTATATGTATCCATAAATTGTTGGTGTGATAGAGTTGTGTTATATTCTTAGCATTCAGTAAGCGATGTTTATTTATCCAAAGGCACAAACTCGTGTAAAATAATTAGTTTTATAAGTAAGCTGTCACGACTAGTCCAGGTGTTCAAAGATGCCAAAAGGGGGTATTTTTGTTATTACTTCGGATTTCCATACTCATTGAGCGTGTAAAATTTCAAAATAATATCACGTAATCTACACTTTTATTCCTGCTGCTTTGAAATAAAAGTATTTTTTCCTGTACTTCCTGACGTCGTTTGAATTTCCAATATTTGTCTAAAATCACGAGATTATGTTCCTCACTTAACATATAAGGTAGAGATAAAATTTGAAAAAATAAAATAAAAACTGGGACATAAGTATAAAGTTCTATTTGAACTCTGCAGATGATACTAAGAATATTTATCCAGGTTATACATGTAAGTCTACTAGACGTACCACTTAATTCTCCTTTTTGGAATTGAAATGCACGAGAAAGACGCCGAATTAAGCGTTTGTATTGCAGCTGCTAAACAAAAATTAGGTCAGGGATCTTTGGCACGATGCAAAAGTTACGGTGGAAAAAATCGTTAATCTTTCCCATTCTTAGGTTTTCACAGTGTTGGGTTGATATTTGAGGGATATTACCACATATGGTTATCACGTATTGTTTACTTAAAAACTTTACCGGCACATAACATAATTACGGGTTTCTGAGCATAGTTTTGATCTGTCAAACCTGACGTAACGTGCAGAAAAACAAGTTTCAAAACACCCTGAACATTCACAAAGAGACACTAAGAGTTTATTAATAATTCTCAATAATAATCTTTAGTTCATTATAAGTAGTACAAATAGAATTATCACAGATGTTGCTAGGCATTTGGAAAAAACATAATAAGGAAATTAAATTCTCGGAGTCAATAAATACTCTTATCAGCCTTGATCACTGTGGTTTTCAACTAGTGAGAATAAAAATAAGTTCCCACTTCTTTCTTTTTTCAGCTTTGTAAATGTACATAAACAAATATCTAAAGTTATATCAAAATGTCTTGTTGTTTGTTAATAAGCACAAAGCTACACAAAGAGCTATCTGTGCTCTGCCCACCACGGGTATCGAAACCCAGTTTCTAGCAGTATAAGTCCGTAGACATACCGCTGTGCCACTGAAAGGCATCGAAGTGTCTACATCGATAATTAGTATAAAATGTAACATTTCAAATATCCATTTTTCAAAAAGTTCTTAGGGGCCAAAATGTAATTAAGAAGAAACTTCTCGTTTTTTGAAGAAAATACTGTAAAGTTTATTAAACTTTTGCCAGAATAATCGAAGTGGTTTCGAAAATCGTTTTAAATCAAAACTGAAGAGCATTCGCATACTGTAAGTACATTTTGTATAAATGTTTACGTGACATTTCAATCACATGTTAGCACTTGATTATTATCGTTTTGCTCATAAGAAAAATTATGAGCTATGTTGTTAGGAATGACCTCCTGCAGAAAATAGTTCTCACAAAATTATCCAAGATATATATACATACCTATACTATTAAACTACGTTCTAAGTCACTGTGTTAATTATAAACACCATCCAAGGCATGTAAATTAACGGTTACCCTTTGAACCGAAACCTTATCATTCATATTCTCAAAAAACAGGTTACAGTTCGACAAAGAGCTTGACAATCACGTAAAAAGCTTGGAAAACAACTCATATATATACACACCCGATGAGAACAGCATAAACACCACGCCTTATGGGTGTGGTTACGGAATTTGTAAATTAGTTTGTATCGGCCTGGAGCTCTCTTTTTTATATATACTCAGGATAGTTATATAATAAAAACCAATTATTTGAAAGTAATATAAATTCTTAACTGTAATACAAACCTTTTTTTTTACAAAAATATGCTATCCTAGTAATCACTCGATAGTTTATTTGTTTGTTTGTTGTTTGTTGGAAGTTAAGCACAAAGCTACACGGTGGACTATCTGTGCTCTGCCCACCAAGGGTATCTAAAGCCGGTTTCTAGCGTTGTTAGTCCACAGCCATACTGTTGAGCCACTGGAAGAAGGGTTCACTCGATAGAAGTTTAAAGATACTAAAATCAGATGGCCCAAAACTACTGTAACCTACAGTTTATTTTTAATTGAAAAAAAGAAATCAGAAACAGTGTCCCGGATATGTTGGTACCACGTGATCTCGAAAATACCAGAAGTGCTAACTAATCTTTGACTGTTTGTTTGCTATAAAGCACAAAGCTACACAATGGGCTAGCTGTGCTCTGGCCAGTGCGGGCAGCGAACCTTGAATTTTAGCGTTGTAGGCCCTCTGACTTACCGCTAAGCCACCGGAGTGAGGGGCTCTAATATTATATTTGGAGTTGAATATAATGTTCGTGTTCATTAGTATAACTACAAGAAACAAATAGAAACAGCTGCCTTGTCTATCTCTGAGAAAATTATTCCTGGGATTTGAGCACAAACATTTAGAAAAATAAGAAGAGATATAAGGGAAAATATAGTGATCAAGAATTTGGTATGAAACAATAAATACTCCTTTCTCATTCCGCACCTCTTCACTTTGGCTCAATAGTAATTTGCTCCTCTAACCTTCATACTAGTGATCGTATTTATGGCATTTTCAGAGTATTTTAATAATACACTCTTGTCCCCTGGTGAGCCAGCGGTAAACGTGAAGATTTTTCACGTTAAAATCTGTGGTTCGATTCCCCGCGATGAATAGAGCGCATATAACACCAATTTTGTAGCTTTGCGCCAATGATACACAACAAAAGCATAATATACTCTATAGATTTTAAAATTATCAACCTGATTTTAAACTACAATTAATTAGTTGGTTAAATATTTTCCACTCTTGACTTCATGATCTTCAGTTAGCGAACTGCCACAGAGCTGAAACAACAGAACGATAAATAGAATACTACTCCGTATTAAAACAAACAAAAACTGGTTGAAAGAAGCATACTTTGTATTTTGTTTAATCCTTTCTCTTATCTGAGTTCCCCTTTACGAGAATTAATTTGTCTTGCAGCAACTAAAATTCAATAAACACCCAATCAGATTTGGACTATAAGACTTAAAAGTAACATGCACACAACTTCAAGACATTTTTTGTATCTTATTTTGTTCGAGAAAGTAGTTTTCATGGTAAATTGTAGATCAGTAGTAATTAATGCTGTGCAACCTTTTCTGGCGTATTTTCATACAGTCTCTCTGACTGATATCGCTTATCATAATACTTTTACTGACTGATGCGATTTATCAGACCTTTCTTTTCTGTTTGTTTGCTTTGAATTTCGCGCAAAGCTACACGATGGCTATCTACACTAGTCGTCCCTAATTTAGCAGTGAAAGACAAGATGGAAGTCAGCTAGTCATCACCACCCACCGCCAACTCTTGGGCTACTCTTTTACCAACGAATAGTGGGATTAACCGTCACATTATAACGCCCCCACGGCTGAAAGGTCGAGCATAATTTACTATCACTTTTATAATATACCCTCAACTGAAAAGACAGAGCACTTTCAGCGCCATCGCAGCCTGGTATGTTAACCACTAGGCCATTCCACGCCCAGGCAAGTTTAGTTAAAAAAAATACGTTTAAATTCTGTTTCGGAGAAAATATTACAGAAATGGTTATAACCTACAATATATTATAAGGTAATAACATAAATGACGCAATGGCTCAAAATATATATATTTATAGCGATGTTTCTACCCTTTTTTGGCTCAGTAGAAGTCAAAAATATTTCAGGTTTATGTCACAAAATGTAGTTTTAATTTAAAACTAACACCATGAAAATAGATAAAAACTCCATTGGTTAACATGTCTATGTATTCAAGGTCTTGAAAGCGTTGTTTATTTCCTGTAGGTCAGTTTGTTTTACTCCTCTTCTCTGTCAATATCCATTTGTTTTTTAAAACGGCTCATGAACAAATTTTTAGCATAGTTATACAGTTCGACATCTAAATAATTCAGTTTTCGAATTTTTTGTAGATTTTCTTCCGTGGTTTCTCTAGTAAAATTTTCCCCCCGTGTGGTGTTGTATTGTTCGAAAGAGATTAAAAAATATAGGTCAAAAGTTCTTTCAAAAAGATACTGCGAAAATTTCTGGTATTCACACAAACCAAAATAGCTCATACTTTCAAGGTTCGTTTTGGCACTTTGAAGCATGATCAGATCTCGTTCTTTCTCAGACATAGCAGATTTGTTGTAACAGCCAATTAGAGACAAGTCTGCCAACATGCGAGTCTGCCTGTTGATAGCCATGTTAGAGGGACATTTCATGAATTCTTCGAGAGTTACATTGAGCCAGTTTTCACCGCTAAAACAAGACGGTAGTTCCTCTTCTGTCGCTGTCCTTCCTCCACACCAATGGCGGGAATCTTTCCACGTGGCTCCTCTCAGCACGTGCTTATATTCACTGATAAATCGTGTCACAGGATCCCGTAAAACAGTGACGTAAAAGTACCTAAAAAAGCAATAAAAATGTTCACATTAGAAGTCGTAATGTTTGAACTGAATGAAAATGCTATCAAACCACATGTTTTATTATGTATACACTTTTGTGAGACTAACATTATTGCCCCCCCCCCCCAGCTGCACAGCGGTATGTCTGCGGACTTAGAACATTAGAAATCTTGTTTCGATACTCGTGGTGGGCAGAGCACAGATAGCCCATTGCATAGCTTTGTGCTTAACTTCAAACAAACAAACATTACTACAGTCAGTTCCTTCAATTCTCTTTCTATGTATATATATACATACATATATATATATATGTGTGTGTGTGTGTGTGCGTGCATTTATGTGCGTGTGTGTCTGTATGCTATTTTACTAGCTAAATACATGAAACTTATCTCTCAAATCTCGAAAATTAGTTGTATGGACCTCCAAACACATAGAGGGAGCAAAAACAAAACTTTCAAGTATGCGTTAAAAGTATACCAATAGCTTATGCTGAAACATGTGAATAATGTCGATTACCGGTTCAAAGTAATTTAATTATTTCACGATCACATACATAAATATATATATACATTACATATTAAAGGAGAAAGAATATATATTTACCTTCGCTTCCGTACTTTGCCTTCAGCCCTATTCATTGCCAGATCAACACAGTTGGTCATCTCTGTCCAGTCAGCATGTATCCCACATTTCCAACCGAGGGAATTTCGGCTTAAAAGCCAGAATCTTGTATAGGAATTTGGCCTATAACATTTGCATATTTTATATTCTTCTCTACATTGGCATGGCTTCTCTAAGTCCAAGTCCCGAACAAGATGCCAACCAAAAGTTGAGCCGCACGTTTTCTGAATGTGAAGAAAAACAATAACGTCAGATTTTCTTATGTCAAATCTAGCTGTCTTATATGTAAAGTTCTCAATCGTGGATGTCACTGGAACACTAGAGAAATTGGAAAAAAAATGCTTTGGTTTTTGCAAAGCCAATAGCGAGTCAGAATCTCTGATATTTTCTTCTATTAATAAACGATACTTTTCTATCGTTTCCAAGAAGTCACGTTGTTCTTTGTAATTACTTAGACTTGACATGTTTTTTTGTTCTTGGCAAAGAAAAACAAGGAAGATTATTCCACCGATTGTTGTAACCACAGAAAATGTTAACACAAATTTGAAGATAAAAAGCCACTTCTTTTTCATCCAATTCATGTTCAGACAACTTTGAAGTAATCATTAAATTTAGGTTTAGCGATGATAGAATTAAAATAACAGTTGTTGTAGAATTTCATAAAATTTACAACTGGATTAGAAAAAATGTTATGTGCATTCAATTCTACAATTGAATATTTTCAAGCGAAAAGAAATAAGAAATATATGTTGTCCCGATAGTAATGGAACGTGATCTGATGCATAGACGATGTGCGATAGAAACAGCAGCAAAACCTAAGTTAGAAACACTTGAAATGGTCTGTTGCAATTCTCAATCTGCTAGTTTCGTAGAATCGCTCATGATATATAAAGAGCATAAACACATATATTATGTTCAACTTCAAGACAGGAAGTGTACACCCTACACTTCCTCAAAGTTCGCAGAAATTACAGGAAGTTGTCGTCTAGAGAAATAAACAAGTCAGGTTTCAAAGTCAAAACAGCTTCAAAAATGCTTATGCCTGTCTTTTTTAAAAATAAAATGTCTTCCTAAAATTTGTATGACCATATATACAAATTACTAACATTTTGTGCCATGAGTGTTTTTTTGTTGTTTTTTTTTTAAGCGCGTGTTTGTTTGCTTGAACTGGTATGAGAGAACATCACTCTTCACAATACTAGATATCACTGAGCCAGAAACATGCCTCATATGAATGCAAAACCTATGAATTAAAGTTTAGTTACGTGAGCCGATAGAGGGCGTTCTAATTATACATTCACCTTGTCCAAAGATGTTTCAACAAGAGTGGTATTTTATAGTCCAGCAAGCTGTATATACAAAGAACACGCTTCCTATTTATATGAACAAAACTTAATAACGAGAGTGACATCATTTCCAGTTTCAAGTTGAAATCACGAACCGAGTGAATGAATAATGTTTTCAAAGTACGACACTTAGCGAATGGAACATACAAACGAACAAGAAAAAAAACAGCTGGTTAATATTGTGGATGATGTTTGTTTGTAATTAAGCACAAAGCTACACAATGGGCTATCTGTGCTCTGCCCACCACGGGTATCGAAACCCGGATTCTAGCGTTGTAAGTCCGCAGACATACCGCTGTGCCACTGGGGGGGTGGGGGGAGCTGTGGATGATGTAAAAAACTTGGAACACTTTTTTTTTCTTTTTCTTTCAGAAAGAGTAGTAAAAACGATCGAGGTAGATTATAATATTAGGTTTTTGTTAACTATTACCATTGAATTATCCATTTCTCCTTTTGTCAATTACATGTAATTAAAATCGAGAAAATATTGTGAATAAAAAAAATCAATAATTGTGCATTTTTTAATTATCCATTATTTGACATTATTTCTGCTACAAAATGAAAATTCCTCGATAGAAAAAAGTATTTTCAAAATTGTTGTTTATAATCCACTGCTGTTTCTTATTCCAAAATAGTACTCATCATTTTTTACACCATTCAAAAAGGCTTGGAAAGTTTCACTGCCTTCTGTTTACCCACAATATTCCCCAGCTGGGGATTCTGTTAAATTTTCCAAGTGAGATTAGATTATTTACGCCTGATTACTCAGCATTGTTTAGGAAGTCCCTTGTTTACCTTCGGTGATACAACACGTAACAAAATTTCCGACCTTTCTTCGTGATTTCAATTCGGGAGATCGGAAATACTGCTGAAGACAAATAGGGCACTAAAGCCTGCACAAACTAGGACTCCTGTACAGATAAGGAATGGGTCATCTTAACTATGTAGGGCATTTGGGTGAGCTACTCTTTAGAAATGAGACGAAAGTTGTCTTCAGTCTTATTTACGTGAAGTTTAATATTGAAATACACATATCTTTTGTTTCTTTTTCATTACCAAATTGATGTTTTATTTTGTAAGGCACTGGTGAATAAGTCACACATTAGTTGATTTTGTAAACATTTCAAGGTATTTATGTAAGATATAAAATATTGCAGTACGAAGACAAAATCTTGTGTTTTCAACACTTGTAACTTACAAAATTCATCGATGGTTTTGATAAGACACGTCACTAGTATAAATGGCGCGCCCCAATTAAAGGCAGGCGGGTAGACTGTTAAACCCCATACCGTAAAATGTCAGACAATGCGGTCTATAGAACGAAATTACGTATTTGAGCGCTTGTAACTTCAGAACTCTATAGTCTTTCTCAACAAAGATCGTGTGTTATTTTAATAAGAAACTGGTAACTATGTCTCACACGAGGGGTAATCAGAATTTAACACTAGGTGCCTAGTTTCCTTTAAAACCCTTGTACTCAAAAAGAGGAGAAAAAAGAATACAAAATGAGTGCAATTACTCAACTTTATTAGAAGCATATGAGATTGAACTCTCCATTATTTAAGGTGGTTAGTATAATACTTCAGAATGTAGCTCCTAACTTTATTGTCCCCCAATGGGAGAGTGGTAAGTCTGCGGATTTACAACGCTAAAATCAGCGGTTTGCTCAGTGGACACAGCAGATAGCCTGATATGAGTTTGCTATAAGAAAAACACACTCCTCTATTTATCAAACTAATTTTTTTTTCTGAAATCAATAAAACAAGCAAAATCTAACTTTATTCTTTTCTGACCATCTAATATCTAAGGTAACTGTAGGATGTACAAGAGTGTTTAGTGTAAGAATTATTATTTAGTTCATTTCGTGATCTAATATTAAATTATTATTTACTTTTCATAACAAGAGAGTTAAAAGTAATTATTTTAAAGGTTATAGTTATGACAAGTTTGATTGCATAACTGGGTAAGAGTCGTAGGTTGTGTGTGTAGTTCAATTGTTGTAGTACTGTTAACACCAACTTACTCGAATCTTCGGTAATTTTCTCTTTACCTTAACTCTCTCAACGTTGGCTTGGTCGATTTGACCGACCATGTGACCTCCTTGTACTCTTATATAGACTTTATATATAGTATATATATCTTCACATTTGGCAGTCTTTGAATAAAATTATAAGACTTTCATATACAAAAAAAATCATATTTTTTGTGAAGCATTTTAAATAAACTAGAAAAAGATTTTTCCATGAATACATCGAGTATTTGTTTTGAATAGTCTGTACACAAAGTGATTTTCATGTTAAGATTAAAAATACTTTTCTTCATCTCAAATATCTCAGATTTGATTTGTATAATTTCTAAAATCTCCTAAATGTATTTCAAATGTTTGTTTTCAGTAAACTTTATATATTTTATCTGTTATTTTTTCTAAGCAAACTCTATGCAAGGTTGGTCAATTTGACAGACCTCGTAACCACAAAAAATCGAAATAAATTTAAATTACCCTTTTTTCTTTCTAGAATGACTTCAAATTATAACGTGAAACTACAATCGTTTATCCTAAGTAGCTTTAAACTTGTAACAATATACATCTATTAATAATTAAATTTTATAGTTTTATTGCCTTTTGAACCGTGTGTAACTGCTATTCCCACCATTTTATGTTGTAAATCGCTTGGAGAACGTGGAGCTCACGTTACCTATCGAATTACATTACTTACCAGCTACTTGCATGCATGCCTCGTGAAACATTTTTATATTATTGTTATTATTATTTATTTTACCTAATATAACTTTAAATAACCTAAATAGACCCTTATTTTTACATTTTAATTATTTTTATAATAACAAATAAAGAAGAAACATGAAAAATAAGAAATAAAGAACTTACCCAAACCTTCTTTTTTCTTGCTGTCGATGACACTTAACCTTACTTTTTTATACTAATGGCAATAATGCACTAAATCATTTTTATTCAATTAAATAATGCACCAAAGAACATAGATAAATAACATGCAAATAGTAGACATCTTCCCCTAACTATCACAATTATTCTGGCTTTCTAACTCGAGATACAACTGTGGTTACCCACAGAGTAACGTAAGTGAATTTATTGCAGATTGTACAGTAAGAAACAGAGTATAGAAAAATAATTCGTCTTGTCAATTGGATTCCAAAGTAATTGAATCAACCCGTGTGGATTTTTGACAAGAAAGATAATTATTTAGACTTTTAGATATGGCTGTGATATTCTATAGTGTAAAGAATTGTCTTACATACATTTGACTTGTTCTGAATATATATTATTTTAAAACAAATGGATTGTGTGCTCTCCGTTTATTGTTAGAATTTATCACCAACTAGTCACAGACATCTACTGTAAAGAATTCGTGGCTCTATAAAACTGACAGTGATTAGGAGAAATAAATTATTAGTTATAAAAAATCGTTATGTGGAATTTAATTGAAAAATGTCATTTGAAAAATTTGTAAAAATATTTTAACAGTTAACTTTTATGATCAAACATGACAAACCTTTAAATTTGTATGCAGCTTTTCTAATTTATTCTTTAATATGGTGCGTAACAAACATACTAAATTAAAAATTCCTTATGTTCAATCGAAAAGAATGCCTAGTTTTCAAAAGTTACCATATTTGGAATATAACATTTTGATGTAAACGTCCAAAGATTTAAATTTAAATTAAGGTCCTAGAGATTATATCTATATCTGGTACTTGGCATTTAAATCAATGTCTTATCCAAATTATGCATGAATTTAATCATGAATTTATGAAGTTAAAGGGTTAAAACTCGTAATTTTATTTTGCCTGAGATCCTATTGAGTTTACTACCTTTAACTGTTATGTGTAACGTGTACAAGCATCTTGTTAAAACTATAGACGAGATCAGTTATTGTAAAGTATTGGATTAAAACACTGCAAACGTTAAAACACAAGATTTTGCTGTACTGCATTGGTTTATATGTCGTACTAAAACAAAGCGTCGATTTTGTAATTAAAAATTTCAGATATTAAAATGTTGACTGTTGTATATTTTGCACTGCTTACACGCAAAGAGAATTTTAGAGACGTTACATGTCAGAGTTTAAGAGAATCCTGGAGCTATTAATCAGTCACATGTCAATCATACAAAAGCAAATATACTTCAATTCTTTTCTGGGTCCAGACTTAATTAACCATCAAAGTTTTATTCAGTTAACTGATTTGGCAAAATGCTAAAAAATACAATAGAAATCTGCCTGCATATTATTAGATATCTTGATATTGCAATTTTATTTATCAAATAAGAAAACATATTTAATGGTATGGATTTTTAAAACTTGTCTATATGTATTCATTCATCTATCTATACACTACTAGAACTCTGAGATTGTTTGTTTGTGTGCTTGTCTGTAATTAAATACAGCAAAAACGGCCCACAATAGCGGCATATTTGTAATGAAATGAGAATAGAAACAGAATAAAACACGTTTCGTT